TGATTCCACTGTTACAAATGACAAGTCCAATGTTAATTTGATTCTTTTTTAGTTTTAAGTAATTATTCTTTCTGGTAACTTGTTCTTTTTTTTTTTTTTTTGTGAGGAAAATCAGCCCTGAACTAACATCCGTGCTAATCCTCCTCTTTTTGCTGAGGAAGACCGGCTCTGAGCTAACATCTATTGCCAATCCTCTTTTTTTCCCCCAAAGCCCCAGTAGATAGTTGTATGTCATAGCTGCACATCCTTCTAGTTGCTGTATGCGGGACGCGGCCTCAGCATGTCTGGAGACGTGGTGCGTCGGTGCGCGCCCGGGATCTGAACCCGGGCCGCCAGTAGCAGAGTGTGTGCACTTAACCACTAAGCCACAGGGCCAGCCCTTCTTTCTGGTAACTTGTAAGGTTGTTTTTTTTTTTATCCTTAAGGTTTAGAAATTTTAGCACAATGTTCTTAAGCGTGTGTCTCGTCTCTCATTAGTCCTGTCTGGATCTTGGAGAGCCCTGTGAGGTTGCAATTCAGTCTTCTCTTTAGTTCATGGAAATTTTTTTCCATATTACTTTAACACTTGCTTCTCTTCTATTTTTTTCCTTTTCTTCCTTCTAGAGACTCTTCTGGAACTCTTCCTATGGTTGATATGTTAGTTAGGTTTTCTCAATCAGTTCTTCAAGTCTCTTCTCTTTTCCCTTAATGATTTTCATCTCTTTGTATTTTTACTTTATGCTTTGAGATTTCTTCTAGTTGATCCTTCATGCCACTGGTTAGAGTCTCTTTTCTCCTTTAATTTATCTACTGAATTATTCAGCTTGAGGATTTTCTTTTTAAATTTTAATTTTTTTTAATCTTTAGAAATTATTTTTTGTTCTCTACTTGACTCACCTTAAGTAGTCATACTATTTTTGATCTCAGTATTTCATGTGTGTCCTTTAGAAGTTAGGTCTGCTCTCTCCTACCTTACGTACATTATTTATATGTGCATTGGGGTTCAGGTTGAGCTGTTAGGGGACTTTAGGTTGTTGTAATCCTGTAAGTAATGAAAAGTACCGGCATCTCAGCCTGCACTTAGCAGCAAGCATATGGTGTATTTCATGTGAATGCACCTGGAAGACTCTGTGTCTTCCTTCTGGTCTCCTTGTATTCCGCAGGCTCTGGAGTAAAGGGGACTTCTTCCTCTTATTGAGTGCCTCCTGCATGCCATTGGGGCCAGAGAGGTTGTCCATACTTGTGCAGCTATCTCTGTGAAAAACTCTTCTGAGTCTTGCTTGGGGCCCAGAGCAGAGCAAGCCCCGCACCAGCCCTCTCTCAAGATGCCTATAGTCTCACGGCCACATTCTTTAGGCCCCGCCCACTGCCTGCTGGCCCCTGGAGCTGACTGGTTTAAGAGAGATAAATGAGTTTGATTTGGGATTGAAGTGAGGGGAGTTAAGTTAATCCAAGGTTCTTTTTTTCTCCAGAATCCTGAATTTTTATGCTTTATTCATAGCCTCAGATGGTATTTCATCCCTCTGTGCCATTTGTCATATGTTTAATGACATTACAGAAGAGACTTCTATTTTGAAAGCCTGTCTTTGAGTGTCATGGGTCGTATGCATAACCTCCTGGACTATCCTACTATTTCTAGCAAGTGTCTTTATAAGATGTACTTTGGACTAAATAAACTTTTTTGGGAGAGTTTATTGGTTTTGGATAAATAAAGCTCTTCTGGGAGAGTTTATTTATCTGTATGCAAATTTCTTTGAACAAGATGTGAGCGATCGGAAAATCTTGTACAATGTAGAAGCCAGTTAAAGTAGGGCAGAGACCAAAAATAGAAGGGTAGGTAGAGGAAGAAACAGGAGCTGGAGAAAGAATCAGCTTTTGAGTTATCAGTGATACTGGGAAGAAGACATGGGGATAACATGGAAATTGAAAGCCACATATAATCAGAAAACCTTATTCTGGCTAATAGTTACAACCTATTCTTCTCTTAAACTGGAGTTGCTGACAAGTAGTATTAGAAGAGATTATACATTAAAGGGACAAATTCTGTTCCAGAAAATTAAAACAAGGAAGCATTCAGTAGAATCTTGAGTGGATGAAAGAAAATACTGTACCCTATATTCACAGGTTGTAAAGTTAGTAGAAATATATGTATATTTATGTTTAAAAAGTCATTTGCCTTAAATATTTGAGATTTGAATTATGCACACATGCTCTCCCTAATATTGATGTTCAGTTTGTCCTAATCAGCCTCAGGCAAAGAGAATTCGAATTATACAATATGTGTAAACTTCACATTGAATAGTAATTAGTGTGTGCTGCTTAGTGGCACTTAATGTTGAGATTAATAGTTCAGTAAAAATTTTAAAAAACCAGTGACTTGCTCCCCAATTTATATGGGTTCGATAGGCTGAGAATCAGTGAAAGCTTTTATTCTGTCAGTAGCAATTTAATTCCTGACTTTGTATCTAAGCTTTTTTTTTTGTACCTTTATTACATGTAACAATATGGAGTCAGGTTACATACATTTAAACTTTACCATTTATCACAGGCCCAGGCCAAAGAAAATGTGGCCCTATGGAATAGAAACCATTCTCTCACCTTTTTGTTATTTTCTAAATTTTTATTTGTCTGAGATGTTATGGAATGTGTTTCTCTTCTTAATTCTGAGTTGTCTTAGCTTGAAGAAAGCTTTTTGGTAAAGTGGAAGGAATAAGAATGGCTGGGTTACTTGCTTATACCATGATTTGTTGGATGGGTGAAAAGGTGACAGTAGGCATTAAATACCTAGAACAACGTGGGGAGTAAAATGTTATAAAATTTCTAGAGTTTTGTACTTAACATCATATGTATGTAATTAAGACAAGAACTTGAACTTTCTATGACACAAGAATCTATGTCATATACTACTGTGTACTTTGCGAATTCTAGTTTGTCCAACAAAACGATTTTAAAAATAAATCATGGAAAGACTCTTATAAAAGTCCATTTTTTTTTTTTTTTGGTGCTGAAATGTTACTATCTTTTAATGCTTTACATTAGAAAATATGTTGGTAGGTTAAAATTTGTGTATTTTTAAAAGTTACATTTATAAAAATATGTGTAATATGCCATGAAGGCTGAATATTAAACAGCAATGCTTGGGTATTCTAGAGCCTTACTTAGAATACTGATTGCAAACTGTCAAAATTCAGTGAGTCAACAAACCAATTAAAAAGAAAAACCCAAGGATATTAGATTTCAAAATGTTCTTCCTTAATTTAGTTTATCCATTATACTTTATTTTAATTATTCATAGTATTGCTTAACATGCCAGGAAATGTCTTATAATAGAATTTATAAAATAATGTAGTTTCAGTAATATGAATGCTGTCTTTAGCATTCAGCTTTTAAATCTCAGATTAAGATGTTTTATGAGGAATTATCTAGTTTGATGCATAAAAGCATGTCTTTATTTAGTAGCTTTATCCATTTTAGAATTTTGAAACCAAATGCTCACTTGAGAAAAATAAATGGAAGAATTGGTATATGTCATTTTGTTGTTGTTGAGCAAATAAGACAAAAAAATTTGTAAGAAGAAAAAATACATACTCCCACTGACATAGAACAATAATGTTTCATTTTGGGTATTACTTTCTGATGCTTATCCATATACATACCTTTTTTTTTTTTGGCACAGACCCAACAAGTAGATTCTTCATTTTAGTGAAAAGCATAGCCCCTGCCTACTCTCTTTCCTCTATCATGCTAGATATTTAAGAAATACAGGATTGGTTTACATATCATTGACCTTAAGTGGGTGAGTTAGAGGTGAAACATAACAGGCAAGCCTGAAGATGTAAATTCTAGTTGAAAATTTGGACATTTATTTGTCTTTGGTTCCATTAGGAGGTGAAAGTAAGCAAGAAAGAGCTCTTCTTTTAGTATTGGTGTGGATTTTTGCGTGTCCAAGATCTACTTCTGTTTCTTATTCTTACTATTAGTGGTAGAGGTTCACAAGTATGGTAAGTATGGATTTAGATTTGTTCCTAAATAGAAAGATTATATATAGGTTATATATTCTGAGGTGTTTATATGAGTGAAAAAATTGGTAACATATTTAAAATGAAATAGGCAGCGATTAACTCTTTCCTCATGATTACACAACAGTAATTGCTAGACTTTTCAGTTCATTTAATGACCATTAGGTAAAATCTTTGTTCTGTTAGATTTGTTTTTTTCCTTCGGTAGTGGATGAATGGCATATTCCATAACTGATGAAGTCTGGATGGCAAAAAATAATTGCTTTTTATCTCAAACTGAGAATTATTTTATTTCTTTTTTGGGTCCTGTGAGTCTTTATATTAAAAAGCCATTTAACATTTAATATCATCTGGCCTCACTATGTGACCCTGGACTATTTCTCTACCTCCTTCTCAATCTTTGCTGTAGCTGGATGCTACTCCCCAAATGTAATCTGTGCTTTGATCCTTCATTGTTTTAGTTCATTCTAGTCCTTGGTCTCCATGTACTTTTTCATTCTTTTCTTTCCAGTAATTACCAGCCTATCCTTGAGGACCTAATTCAGGTGTTAATTCTCTATAATTTTCTTTTCCCCACGCCCCCCCCAATTAATTACCCTCTTTCTTTTTGTTGTCATAGCACTTATAGGTGGTTCTGACAACAACTATGAATCGTAGAGATGTCATCGTTATTAAGAATGGGGACCATGTGTTATCCATCTTTGTATTTTCTAGAACAAGCATTTAGCGAACATTTGTCGAACTGAAATGTTTAGAACGGCATGCTTCTCATGATTAAGAAAACAGCTTGCCTCATTGAATTCCTTGATCATAGTTGCCCTCATTCACAGTGTTTCTCACACACCCTATTCCCACCTGTTACGCTGTGGTTGTTGGTTTCTATTAAAATTAATTCGAGAGCCATCAGAGAAGGATCGTGTGGATCGAATGCAGGGAAACTGGCTCTGACTCTTCATGGATGCTGAGTTTTGAGGATTTCATTTTCTTCTCCCCTCTTTGCAGGACCCTAATAGGAGTGTTCATACCAGCAGCAGCAGCAGCAGCAGCAGCTGCAGCAGCAGCAGCAGCAGCAGCAGCAGCAGCAGCAGC